TGGGTCACTGTATCTTGGAGCCATGCAGGACTTCAGGTGCTGCTCAGCTTGTCCCAGCAAGGCAAGTAGCAAGAGCTACTGGCCGGAGCTGGCTGTAGCAAGCTGGCTGAGCTCTTGTTCCCTGTTGGCATCACATTCATACACCTACACTTAATGGTGGTGAGCTGAATCTCACTCAGCAATGCATTTCCACCTTGGAGGGTATGAAATGCCAAGGGACAAGCTCTTCAGCCTGGGAAAAAGCGAAAAAATGTCCTTGTCCTGCTGCTCAAGTGGGATCCGATGGAGGGAACCAGTCTTCCACCAAGTTGCTGTGTAAAATGGAGACCTTGGTACTGTTGCAGGAGCTGACTGCTGGCAGGGTTCCCTGGCTCCTAGATGCTCAGCCTTCCCCTTTCCTCTGCAGTTGGCAACGCTGCCAGCCTGGGGCTCAGCCAGCTCTTTCTTCTAAGCAGGTAGTTCCTGAATCTGGGTGGTAGGCATGTGGGGTTTGATGTGGGGGTTTGCTGGGACCATCCTGACCAGGAGTTGCCGATGTCTGTCCGGAGCCTTGGAAGACGGTGACAGTTCCTAGAAATGACTGGATCCTCCCCACCTGCCTTGTTCTGGGTATTTGAGGTCAAAGGGAACAGGGCTTATTTATTTGTTGCATGATGTAAGCAAATCAGCAGGGCAGAGCCACGGAAACTGATGCTCAGGAGTCCCACTGGAGTCCCCTGCAAGCTGCTGCCACAGCCTGGCACCCAGGAGCTACCTGGGCTTTCAGGCTGCTGCTCTGGGGCTTTTGATTTCTTTTTTCAGCCCCGCAGAGGGCTGTCTCTAGGATACCTAACCCTGTGAACCCCAGGGCATCTTGTAAAGGGCTTAGCGTTCCGGGGATGAATTGGAGATTTCAGGCTGGTCTCTGCAGGAAGAAGCAGGTGAGAGGTGCGGGAGGTGAGGACATGGGAACACTTGTTAAATGGAGCGACGGTAGATGGGGCCAGGGACAGGCTGTTTCAGAGAGGAGCTTTGTAGACCTTGAAGGATTTCTGGAGTTGTTTAGTGTTCAAAGTTGCAGGGTCAAAGTTGTAGGGGTGATGAAGGTATTTGGCCGATGTGCTTGGCCACTGGGGCTCTGGGCAGGTTTATCCCCTTGAGGCTTTTTTGAGAAGAGGATTCCTCAGATCTCAAAGGAGTTTAATGCAAACAGTGATGGGGGCCCTCTCTTCTACTGTCTCTGCCCTGTGCATTGCAGGCATCTCCATTTGCTTCACGGCTGCTTGTAAGTCATCCCCTCCATTCCTTCCCGTCCATCTCAGAGCAGCAGCTGCAGGTGTGGGACTCCATCTCCTTTCACCTCAGGGGCAACGTCAGAGGCAAACACTGTATATGAGGGAGGGGAGGCTGTAGCAACACTCTACCCCTTGCCCTTCCCAATGTGTCTTACAGTTAGCGCCCAGGAGCCTGGTAAGGCTTGTCCCATGTGTTCTACGTGGTGAACTGAAGCACAGAGAAGGGAAGCACAGTGACTGGGGTCCCACAAAGGGGTTGGCCAAGCCACGGCTGGACCAGTTCTGCCCTCTAGCACTGCAGAGATGTTTAGGTGCACCTGCAATAGTGGATTTGCTTACCACTCTCCAGTGCTCAAGCCTGAGCAATGGGGGAGGCTGCCGGTGATGGAGGGAAACCCTGTTTGCAGTGAAGTAGGGCAAGCCTTTCGCCTCGTTCCATCAGACTGCAGCGGGCAGATGACGATGGCATTTATATCAGAGCCTGCTCTCCTCTCAGTGACACTGTTCTGGGACAGAAAGGATTTCCCTTTCCCCAGCTTTTTCATCTGTATGTTTGCTGTGCTGGACTTCTCCAAGGCTGGTTAAGAGCTCGAGGAGGCAACCTTATTCAGCTGCTTCTGCGGGGGGAAGCCACGAAGCCGGTTGTTTGCTCCTGTGAGCCCTTTGCAGCCCGGGAGAGGAGCAGGGATGCTGCAGTTCCTACTGGGATTAGACTCTGCAGCTGGCTCCTCCTCCGTCTCTGCTGTGGTTGTATCCCCTGTCATTGGCACTTGATCAGCTTTCAGAAACCCCACCAGCGCGGCCGATGTGTGTATGTTTTACCTCAAAAGCCTAGGCCAAAACTGGGTTGTAAACAGTTTACAGCAGGGGTTAGCGTGACCCTGTAAAAGTGCTGCAGTATCTAAATGCTGCGTAGTCCTAGGAGGAGACTAATGCGTGGACTAGAGCCCTGCTAACACAGTTCCTGGAACCAAGCCTGGGTTGCATCGCACTCCCTGCCGCCCTGCCCCGGATGGGTAACCGCAGCGGGGCTTGCCTAGGGCCGCCAGCCAGCATCGCCCTTCTCCTGATGCAGGCAGCGCGGGGTGTGAGGGGCTGGGGAGCAACTGGGAGGGGGAATTTGCTTTGGACCTGGCCGAAGACCTGCCTCCCTGGTGTCCCTTCCCCAACTTGTCAAATGAGTGAGCTGAATGCTTTGCTTTATTCCTTGAGCTCCACTTGCAGATCCCCCCCCAAACAAGGCACTGTTTCTGTGCAAGCCCTCTAACCCCACAGACACTCCAGGGTTAGTGTGTGCCTTGCATCTCCTGCTCAGACCCCCTGTGCTCCTCCTTCAGCTGAGCAGTCCCCTTAGAGCCTCACAGCCAGGGCTGCCGCTACCAGGAAAGATTTGCAATGCAGGAGGCAGCTGTGGGAGAGGAAACCTTGAGCCACCTGGGTAGTGGCACAGCAGTCCGGGCAGGAGAGCCGTGCTGCAGCGAAGCAAACCACAGCGTGGATCTGGGCAGGGAGGGCACAGCTCAGGCAGCTCTGCCTGCTGGGTACCTCCCCTTCCTCTCCTTGCTCCTTTTTCTCTTACCCGGGATTCCCTTCTTGCCCCATGACCACGAGGCTGCCACAGTGAAGAGTCGAGCTGGGAAGACTGGGGCACACACGTGTCCGTGCCGGAGCTGCTGAGCAGAGCCGCCCCGCACCTCTTGCTGTTACCTGCAGACCAGCTCTACCCCACCTGCCTTCCCTGGGCTCTGTGTCTCTGTCGCTGGCTCTCGCTCTCAGCTGGTTGCCCCAAAGAGGGGGGCTCAGCACTACTGATGCTCGGGACCCGCAGCGGGATTCGCCATTGTTCCCCTTGCCACCCCTCTGGCTGTGCCGCCTGCTCCGCTCATCGCAGGCTGGCTCCTGGGCGGGCGGGAAGGGAAGCTCCCTGCCTCCGGGAGAGAAACCTCCGTTGGAGATTTGGGCTGGATCCAGCCCTGCTAATTGCAGTGGCAGAAATCCCACTGGCATGGGGTGGACTAGGCTTTGGCAAGGTGTAGGGGGGAAAGATTAGGATGTGGGACTCTAGGGGACTAAGCCAGGGCTGAGGAACTCTTCAGGGAGAGCAAGGGGGGTTTCTTAGAGGAAAGAAGAGGCCCAGATCTGTCCCTAGACCTGCCAGTGACATTGTGACCTCTGGTTCCTGCTTTAATTTCCCTTTTCATGCAAGAGTGAAAGTGACCCCCCTGCTTTCTAGCAGCGTGAGCCCATTAAGCTCTTTGGGATCTCTGCGTGAAAGACCTCTCCAGCCCAGTGCGTTCAGGAATGGAGGAGGGATGGGGCCAGGCTTGGACTTCACTGCCCTGAGTGGTGTTACTGCAGCTGGCGTTAGCCCCTACAACGGCGGAGGTGAGCTCAGGAGCTGTGCTGCGTGCACTTGGGGAGGGAAAGCAAAGCTGAAAGCCTCTTAGTGAGTTAGTGGCATCTGCACACGGCTGGGGTTCTTGCACCCCTCTCTCAGGTTGCACCTTTGGAAGTTGCTGGGTTGGATGGTATTTGTGCTGGATGAAGTCCTTTGTGTAAGAAAGCAAATAACCTCTTTGCACGTTCTCCCTTTGAGTGTCAGGTCTCACTGACCAAGCTGGATCAATACTTGAGACTTCAGGGTGTTGCAGAGAGTGACAGAGGTTTCCTTAAGTGGTTTTTTTTCCTGGGTCTTTGTGAAACCCTGCATGGTTCCTATGGTGAAGGCACCAGTGCTATCTCTTTTAAAAGTCCTATTGCTGAAGTCCTGCCCTTTCGTCACCATGAAAGACCTGAGAGCAGTTCTTCCAGAAGTGTGGGCTGTCACAGCCAAATTCCAGTGCAGGCAGGGACATTTGCTGGCAGTCGTGTCCCACCGCTCGCCCTCCTTGCTGCTGCGGATCGGTAGGGTACTCTTCCAGCCTGAACACCTTTTAGGACGTTATTCCATATTCGCTTTCTCTCCCACCAGAGGCGGCTGCGTTTCAGTCATGGAAAAGTACTTTCCTGTTTGTGTGGTTTGTAAAGCACTTGAGGAGCACTTCAGGGCCTCTTGGGCTGCCAAGTGTTGTGGTGGGAACCGCCATTACCAAACAGAGACCTTCCCAGCTGCAGAAGGTCGGTTTCTCCGCCTTACAGGCACCCCAGGCCACTTGTGCTGCCCTGGTAGGAGAAATCTAAATGTTGCTGTCGGTCGTTACTGGGAGAGGGATTGTTACTGGACTCGTGTGGGAGCGGTGAGAGGCGCGGTGGGATGAGCTGTGGTGAGGTGTTCCGGTGGGACGACCCATCAGTTAGAGCTGCCTGCTGGTGGGATGGGTGCAGAAGCTGAAGTATGTGGGGGAGATCCCCCAGCCTCCATCTTGCTATGCTTCAATACCCCTCCCTGGGATGTGGCAGTGGTGGGGGTCACTCCCCATTGAAGAAGGGGGGTGAAGAAGCCCAGTCCAGCTGGGCTCTGGCCATCTCCCGAGGAGGGGCAGAGCACCGCGAAGGGAAGCGGGGGTGACAGCTGCCCACACCGCGGGACTGTCATCCTGGGAGAGATCCCAGCCTCCGGCCTGCCTGCTGAGGCTAGGAGCCCTACGGCGTCTGCCGTTTTGTCCCCGTTGACAGAGCTACAGGTGCCACCACGGCACCCTGCTGCCTGCTCCCCTTCCCCCTGCCACTGCAACCTACTGACTCCTTTCTTGTTTTCTCTCCCCTTCTCCCGGTCGCCCGGAGCAGCAGCGGCCGGTGAAGCAGTCTCTCAGCAAGTCCCTGTGCCGAGAGTCCCACTGGAAATGCCTGCTGCTGTCCCTCCTCATGTACGGCTGCATGGGAGCCATGACCTGGTGCCACGTCACCAAGGTGACCCGGCTGACCTTTGACAGCGCTTACAAGGGCAAGTCTATGATGTACCACGACAGCCCCTGTTCCAACGGCTACGTCTACATCCCCTTGGCCTTCCTGGTGATGCTCTACGTGGTATACCTGGTGGAGTGCTGGCACTGCTACACCCGCAACGAGCTGCAGTACAAAGTGGACGTGGAGAGCGTGCACGAGCGCGTGCAGCGGATGCAGCAGGCGACCCCCTGCATCTGGTGGAAGGCCATCAGCTACCACTACGTCCGCAGGACCCGGCAGGTTACCCGCTACCGCAACGGGGACGCCTACACCACCACCCAAGTGTATCACGAGCGGGTCAACACCCACGTGGCAGAGGCTGAGTTTGATTATTCCAATTGTGGAGTTAAGGACATCTCCAAGGACCTCATTGACTTGGAGAGCTACCCGGCCACGCGGCTCCGCTTCACCAAGTGTTTCAGCTTTGCCAACGTGGAGTCGGAGAACTCCTACTTGACCCAGCGGGCCCGCTTCTTCACAGAGAACGAGGGCCTAGATGACTACATGGAGGCCAGGGAGGGGATGCACCTCAAAAATGTGGACTTCAAGGAATACATGGTGGCCTTTTCCGACCCAGACAACCTGCCTTGGTACGTATCCCACTATGTCTTCTGGGTGGCGGCTCTGTTGACCCTATCCTGGCCCCTGCGGGTGCTAAATGAGTACCGCACCTCCTATGTCCATTACCACGTGGAGAAACTCTTTGGGTTCGACTACGTGGCGGTGACGCCAGCCGAGGAGCGCTCCTTCTGCCGGAGGATGCCCCGCGTCAACACGGTGGACAGCACCGAGCTGGAGTGGCACATCCGATCCAACCAGCAGCTGGTGCCCAGTTATTCGGAAGCGGTCCTGATGGACTTGGTGGGGCTCTCCAGCTGCACCAGCTACTCTGCTTGCCGGTACGGAGGCTACCGGCAGAACTGCGAGCGGTGCCACAGGACTATAAGCAGCTCCTCCATCTTCTCCCGCAGTGCCCTGAGCATCTGCAACGGCAGCCCC